GAAGGCGATGACGGGCTCCGTGGACTTATAGTAGGTCTCCAGGCGCTTCTTGATGGTCTCCTCGTTGTCGTCCACCCGTCCGCTGGTCTCGCCCCGCTTCAGCAGCCGCTTGACCATGGTGTCCTTCCCCGCGTCCACGTAGAGCAGCAGCGTCGGGGGGCCGATCTGCGGGCAGGGAGGACCCCCGAGGTCACCAGGGAAGTGGACACGCAGTCCACAGTGGCATCCCCGCAAGCAGGGCCACCCGGGCACCCGTCCCCAGCCCCTCACCTTCTTCTCAAACTCCTCTCCCTGCTTCACCTCGCGGGGGTACCCGTCAATCAGGAAGCCCTTGGATGCGTCCGCTTTGGCCAGCATGGCATCTCGCAGCATGTCCAGCACCGTGTCCTGCCAGCCAGGAGAGTTGGGAAGGGACAAGATGTCAAAGGGGTGACATGACCCCCATGGTACCAACCAGCACCCCCCCAATCCCTGCTGCTAACCCAGGTGACAGGGACCAAGGCATTCCCAGAACATGAGCTGACCATGACGGGCACCACCGTGGTCCCCCCGTCCACACCACTGTGCCCCCACCATTGGCACCTATGTGCCTGGCCCTCCGGTTTGGGGGCTCACCAGGGGCACCAGCTCGCCTTTCTCCATGATCTCCTTCAGCTTCTTGCCCCGCTCGGAGCCGGAGCTGACCTCGGCGCGCAGCAGGTCTCCGGTGGAGAGGTGGGTGTACCCATACTTGTGCACGATCTTCTCGCACTGCGTCCCCTTCCCCGAGCCGGGGCCGCCTGCAAGTCACACGGGGGCCACGCTCACACCCCAGCCCACGGCGAAGGAGCCGGGGGGAAGGCTGGAAGAAGCACTGCAGACACACAGGGAGCCCCAGCCAGGGCATCCCCATCCCCACCATCCCCACGTCACGGGGAGCCGGGCTGGGAGCAGCGACCGCCCTGCAGCGTGTGGGGCTACAGGTGCTGCTGGTCCCGAAGTCTGGAGCAGCAAACGGGTTACACCCGCTCTCCTCGGTCCCCAGACCTTGACACGGGAGCCCAGGGCACCACGGTCGGCATCACTCCTATATCAGTCACCCACCAACTTACCCACCACGAAGATGATTTTGTGATGCTTGAGTTTTTCTGGAGGAAAAGAGAATAGAAAAACAGACTCCGTGAAACAGCCGCCAGGGCAGATGGCGGGTACGAGCTGCCAGCCCTGCCATGGGTGTCCCCCCGGGGTGGTGGGAACGGCCCCATGTCCC